AGCACACTCGTAATCTCAGGAGGCTGAGACAGGAGGATTACAAGTTCAAGGACAGCCTAGGCAACTTAGTAAGATCTTGTCTCAAAAAAATAAAAAGGACTGGGGATATATATATATATATCTTAGTGGTAGAGTGACCCTGGTTCAATATCTAGTATCAAAAAAAAAAAAAAGTAACCAGGATTCTACCTTAGTCTGTCTTGAGGAGCTGATTCCACTTAACTCCTCCAAATGCCCCAGAGCCCAAGTTAAACCTGGATTTTGCCCTTCTTGGTCCTCCCCAGGAGACAAGCATTGGGTATTTGATGAGGCTTCCCTGGAACCTGGCTACCCCAAACACATTAAGGAGTTGGGCCGAGGACTGCCTACTGACAGAATCGATGCTGCTCTATTCTGGATGCCCAATGGAAAGACCTACTTCTTCAGGGGAAACAAGTAAGACCTCTACCCCTTAACCCCAGGGGTCACTACTGCCACCCCCAAATCCCATCTTCAAATTCTGGAAGGACCCACCTTCTGCCAAGATGTTTCTTTCCCTAATGAAGTTGCTGAATGAGCCTCCACTGTTGCCTAGCAATGAGCAGCCTCTGTGGGTGCCTCGTGAGTGGGATGTGACCGGGTCACCATTTCAAACCTGGTCATTTGACGCCTCCTGCCCCCGGCACTGTGCCTCTGCCCTAGCAGCCAGGCACTGTCATTAAGGGCTGCTGGTGGCTTCTTACAGCCTGGGCCCTCCCTTCTACCTCCTCCTTCCGCCACTTTCAGCTGCAGGCTCTCATTACTCAAAAACCCCCGTCCCCCCACCCTGTCCACAGCTACTCTTTGTCTACTGTTGCATTCTGTCCTGGTTCCTGGTACACTCAAAGGACATGCCGTGTCCAACCACTTCCCTTCCCCTCCCCCAGGTACTACCGTTTCAACGAGGAGTTCAGGGCAGTGGACAGCGAGTATCCCAAAAATATCAAAGTCTGGGAAGGAATCCCTGAGTCTCCCAGAGGGTCATTCATGGGCAGTGATGAAGGTGAGTGGGACAAAGAAAGGTGTCCATGAGAGGAGGGTGGAAATAGAGAGATAAGGAAAACAGAGCATCATAGGGAAAACAAGGTGGATGGTAAGTCCCTTACCATGTGCTAGGGACTGGGCCAGGTGCATTCATGGTCGTATCCCATGAGCCCTGCCCCTCTCCCAACCTGGTACTATCATTGCCTCCATTTTATAGCTGAGGAAACTGATGCTCGGAAAGGTGCAGGTGAGCTCAGCTGATGTCACACTAACAACTTCCTTCTGTTCTTCTCCTTTGGGACCTTTTCACCCTGCCCTGTCTCTTGTCCTCCTTCCTGTTGACCCCTGCAGTCTTCACTTACTTCTACAAAGGGAACAAATACTGGAAATTCAACAACCAGAAGCTGAAGGTAGAGCCAGGCTATCCCAAGTCGGCCCTACGGGACTGGATGGGCTGCCCATCAGGGGGCCGACCTGACGAGGGGACTGAAGAAGAGACAGAGGTGATCATCATCGAGGTGGATGAGGAGGGCAGCGGGGCTGTGAGCGCAGCTGCCATAGTGCTGCCTGTGCTGCTGCTGCTCCTGGTGCTGGCAGTGGGCCTCGCCGTCTTCTTCTTCAGACGCCATGGGACTCCCAAGAGACTGCTTTACTGCCAGCGCTCCCTGCTGGACAAGGTCTGACCCCCACTGCCGGCCCACCCACTCCTACCACAAGAACTTCGCCTCTGATGGCCAGTGGCAGCAGGTGGTGGTGGGTGGGCTGCTTCCACCCGTCCTGAGCCCCCTTCCTCCAGCCTACCTTCTCTCTGTCCCTGACTGGCCTCTCCCATCCTCACCCCTGGCATTGCTTCTTCCCCAGATGGGGGCCCCTGAGGCCTGAGCAGGAGGGTGGTGTCCCTTCTAGCCTCTGATCCTCAGGGGAACCCTGTAGCTTGGTGTGTGTTCGGCCCCTTTTGAATGTCATGGGGGCTCTGCACTTGAAGGCAGGACCCTCAGTCCTCACTGGCAAAGGTCAGATGAGGTCATCTGCTCCTTTTCCATCCCCTGACATACCTTAAACCTCTGAACTCTGACCTCAGGAGGCTCTGGGCACTCCAGCCCCACAAGCCCCAGGTGTACCCATTTGGCAGCCTCCCACCACTCTTTGGCTAAAAAGGAATCTAATCGTGTTGTGGGGCAGAGGCCCTGAGAAAGTGTGAGAGGGTGGGGATTGCTCTGCCACCTAAGACCTCAGGAGGAGAACTCAGAGAGGGTCTTAGTGGCTTGGTCAGTTGAGTTCCTCCCCACAAAGATCTGCCTCTGCCCCACTTACCCCGGAGAATTTCCAAAGAAATAGCCTGAGCCATTAAGGACTAAACTGGGGCTGAAGAAACCCTTGGCAGCCCTAACCCCTCTTGAATGTTAGCCTTGAATGGGGATTTCAAGGTTGGAAGAGCTGAAACCAGGAGGTAAAGCCCAAGTTGGAATGGGGCCAAGGGGAGACACCCAGGGCTCCAGACCTGAAGATCCTGAAGGCCACAGAAGAACCTTGTTCAAATACAGGCAGCTGGGGCTGGGACCCAAGGGCCAGAGTCAGAGGGGACAGGAAATGAAGAGTGGCAGCAGTAGAGGTTGGGGGCTGGGTGGCCACAGGGGCACCACAAGTTGGGCGGTGGTACCCAGGGAAAGGCACATTTTATTGGAGCTCTCAGGAAAGTCCTGAGGAAGGCACACTGGCTCCTCTTTGTCCCCTTCCTCTGGGCAAGAAGCCCAGAGAAAGGAACAAAAAGGGCACTGGGGACTTGGAGGACTTATGGAGAGAGGCCACCTGTTTGTGGGACCAGAGGAGGTTCCCCGAGGCCTGGCAACACTCAGTCTGCCTTTCACCTCAGTGAAGAGCAGGTGCCTGGGTGCTGCTCAGTGGGGTTAGCCCCTCACCTCCCTGACGCCCGCATCCTCAGCCCATCTTATCGGTGTCCAGTCCTCCTTCTCACACCCAGCCCACCCATTTTAAGTCTCCTTCAGCCACTGAAGGTAGTCATGGTACTGGGGACTTGGGAGAGAAACACCCTGTGGAGGGAGCTAGAGGAGAGGGATGTCAGGGAGGTGAGGGATGGGGGTAGGGGAAATGGGGTGAACGGTGCTGGCAGTTCGGCTAAATTTCTGTCTTGTTTGTTTGTTTTTTTTTGTTTAATGTATATTTTTATTATAATTATTATATATGAACTTCATTCAAATTGTTCCTTTTTGTTAACAAGGGGCAGGGGGGGGAGGGTGGGGGAGGGGGGCAGAGGCATCTGACCCCAGGAACCTGCAGGGCGGGGCTGGGTCAGTGCCCTCTAAGGACATTTTTGACCTTGTTCAACCTTTCCACAAAGAATAAACTGTGTTTCACATTCTCTGTGTGACTGCAGTTCTGTCTAGGGGTGAGCGGGATGTGGATGGCGGGCTGGAAAGGAGAGCAGGTGTCTTGAGCAGCACTTTCCCTGAAATAGAGTTCTGGTAATTTTTCATAAAAGAATGTTTATTCTTAGCAAACTAATGGGATTCAAGGGCCAGAGTTGGGGAGCAGGGCACACCCCACTGGGGAAGGGTTGCTCTCCCCCAACCTGCCTTAAAAGACTAGTTTTGAGACTGAAGGCTGCCAAAGATAAGAGGAAGTGATCAAGCTGAGGCCACTTGGAAAATCTTCCTAAGTTGCATTACCATGTCGTGTGATCTGGCCACAGACCTCAGTTTCCTCGTGCCTCTGCCTGCAGTGGGGGTATTCCCATGATCCTATTCAGCCCCAGGCTCAGTGAAGGCCCTCAGGAGCCAAAGTTTTTTTCTGAGCCTGGGCCTCTGCTGCTGGGACTGAAGGAACGGAAAGAGAAAGAGGTTGCCCCAAGACCTATTGGGAGCAGCCTGCCTCTGGAAAAACTGACCTCCCCTCAATTGCCCGGGAGAGCCCGGATGGTCAGGTTGGAAGGGCAGAATAACAAGGCTTTGTTTCCTCTTTCCTTAGAAACTGCTACCCTAGACTGGGTTCCCAGGCTGTCTACCCGCCCTTCCTCCGAATCCAGCCTGAAGGGAGGAATCAGTCCAGTTGCTGAGTCAGCTCAGCTGGAAGAGAGCAGCCCCCTTCCCTCACCCGCCTTCCCTTCCTGCCTCAGCCCAGCCCATCGGGCTCCAGCCCAGGCCCCCTCCACACCCTGCCTCGAAGAACCTTGGCCCCACCTACTCTACTCCTTCATCCAGCTGCTATTCAAGGCTCCTTGGTGTGATTGCTTTGGCAGAAGGGGTACCCCACCTTCCTGTCAGGAACCCTGACCCTGTGCCTGGCCTCCTGCTCCTCCCCTGCCAACAGCTGTTTGGCAGTCCTCTATGTCTCAGTGGTGCTGGACATCTCCTCCCCACCATCCTCACTGGAGGGGATGGGGACCACAGGAACGCAGCATGGGCAAGTCAGGGGCATCTAGGGGTGGTGGGGTTCGTGCATGTGGCAAGGAACTCAAAGATGAGCTCATGGCCCTTTTTGTTTTTGTGGTCCACATCTGGAGGTAATTACAGATGTTATCCAGTGGGAGTTCTGCAAAACAGCTGGAGCCAGTGAAGGAGCTGGGGGAAGGGAGACTGCCAGAGGGAAGAAGAGGGGGAGCCTAGGGCTCCCGCGGCTGGAGTGTGGTTTCCCCATCACGAGGAAATTGTTTGGCTGTTATTCTGGAATCACAAGATGCTCTCTGAAGCCAAGGGGGAAAGATGGGAATGGAGGACCACAGACAAAGAGGAAGGCTTCACGAGCAGATAACGGGTGGAGGCTGCAGGGTCCCGTGCCTCTGACGTGCTTGGGCCTGCTTGACCCACCCCTGTGAGGCTGCCCAGTGACCCAGGGAGGTGTCTAAGTGATCACGAGGCCCCAATTGAGTGAACCGCTGGGTTAGGCAGGAATGAGGGGAGGCAGAAGGCCCTGTGGCTCCCAAGGACCTGCAAACTCTGCTTTCGCTGGCTGATCTGTCCATTGGGCCTGACCCAGTTTCTGTGGTTCCAAGTTCCTTTATTCGAAAGCAGCACATGTGAGTTGGAGCAGCCAGGAGGGAGCCAAGGGGAATCTGCAAAGAGTTTGGGAAGAACCCAGGGAAACAGGTCTAAAGGAGATGCTGGACTGGGGATGAGGGTCAAGGAGGATAGTACTCTTCCTACTGCTGTGCCCCACACATTTGAAGGGTGCCATGAACTCCCTTGCCACCACCTCCCCTTCTCCAAGGCTCCTGCTCACCAGCTGGGCCCATGCCTCCAAGACTGCCAGCCAGTCGCTGGGTCAGCGGGGCTGGGAAGGAAAGATCTATGAGGGCCACACCCTCTGGAGAAGAGAGGACTGGGCAAAGGGATGTCCCCACCCGCTTACAATCTGGTTAGCCTGCTGGTCCTCTGTTGTTCTCTCCCAGGACCTCCCTCTTCAATCTGACAGGCCTGCCAGTCCTCTCTATCCCCCCTGCCTTCCATTTCCAACAAAGGGGAAGCTAGCATTCACTGAGATCTTCACAATATGCAGTGATGCAGAAAGAAACTGAGGCTCAGAAAGATTAATCACTTGCTAAGGTCACAGCTTACTCATCCAAATTTTAAAACCTTATCTGACTTTTCTTCTTCTTTCTCCTGTGCAAGCAAATTCTGACAATGTCTCTTTGGTGTCTCTTCCAGTGTAGACCCTAGGTAGATAGGTGTCTTCATGGCAGTGCGTTCTGGGGAATCTGTCAGCATGTGCGGTTCTGCTTATTATGTTCTGTAGCAGCTTCCGTATATAAGGTAGGCATGCAGGGTAGAAGGGTTCTTCCTCAGTAACTCCATCACCTCCCTTCTCAGGAACAGGAGCAGGCACTCTGAGGGAAAGAAGGGTGCACCAAGACTCTGAGGAAGACCATGATAGCAGCTGGGGAAAGGTGGGGTGGTAGATGACTATGCTCAAGGGCCTGGGGGAAGCAAGGCCATCAGGGGCTGAGTTCATTCACTTTCTGCAACATTAGCCCATTCCTGGGGTTACTGCCTTTCTCCCTCAGACAGGCTTGGGAGACTGGGGAGACCTAGAGGCAGCCTGTGAGGGGCCTAGGCAGCCAGGGCCTGGAAGGCTGACTGGCCAGAAGCCACCTTCCAAATGAGCTCACACACATACTTTCCACTCTGGCCCAGCGCCGATGGCTCAGCTCCTTCCAGGCCAGCCTTCCCCAGCCAGGCCCAGCCCCCTGTGTCCTCCCCTGCCATCAGTCCTGGCCCCAAGGGTTCCACAGTGGGATCACTGGACACCCCAGATCAGGGCTGTCATCATATCCCCAGGAAGCAGCTTCCTCTGCCTCCATGCTGAAGCCAGCTCCCCTCAAAATCCCTCACTCCTCAGCCACGTAGCCCTCATGGTTTAGAGGAAAAAGAGACCAGTCCTCTGCCCCCAAAGACCACCCCTGTGTAGAGAAGGATAGTAGAGCAGACAGAAGAGGAGGTGACACTGCAGTGAATGGGCGGAAGAGCTTCCTTTGAGTGCCTAAAGTAGCTCCTTGACTCAGGAGCCAGCCTGGCCTGGGAGCTACCTCGCTGTGGGTCACATCCTGCTTGCTCACTTGATTTCTCACTTAGGCGCACTTCCCTGACTTGGGGCAGCATGGGATTTGGGTCGGGCAAGGCCAGGATGCCCACAAAGGGAGAGGAAGTCAGCCTCTTAGAAGGCCTAGCAGATTCACATCTGCCACAGGCTCTAGTTACTTTGATTTGTTCTGTGGTCAGAGTCACCCTTCTTTAGCCAGCTCCCAGAGATATGTATCACTGGGCTAGAGAACAAGATCAATTCTCAGAATGTTCTCTTTCTCTGTTCAGTGCCTAACTTTGGGCTAGAAATATGGCTGCCCTGACAATATTTCCTGAATCCAATAATGTATCTGAGGGTCTGTGGTTGAGTATATTCAGACATAGCAGACAATTCTATCTGCTTTAGATCCCAAAATGATGGCCCCTAGGATCAGATCATTCAGCTGTTGCTTTCCTTTACCAGACACTGATAGTGTAGTTCTGTCAAGGAACTTCTACTGTTCATAATACTGACCCCATCACAGCCACTGATAAACATGTTCTGCCCTCACTTTTCTTACAAAAGAGTAAGATAGTGCTAGGCACACTGAAGGCACTGGATAAAGGTTTGTTAAATTGAATTGTCAGCAGTAGTTGTAATTATGTAAGTATTTTAAACATACCTACATAAGTATTGTGTATATACAAGTACTGAATATGTAAGCTGAAAAATCAGAGATATATATTTATACTTCATGGACTTTGTAAACTGTATATCTCACCTTGATCTTTAAAAATTTTTTTTTATTTAGTTGTAGATGAACACACAGTATCTTTATTTTTATGTGGTGCTAGGGATTGAACCCCGTGCCTCATGCATGCTAGGCAAGCACTCTACCACTGAGCCACAACCCCAGCCCCCTAAAACATTTGTAAAAGGAATAAAAGATTGGGCATGATGCATACACCGGTAATCACAGCTTCCCCAGAGGCTGAGGCAGAAAGATCAACAAAAGTTCTAGGACAGCCAGGTGTTGTAGGGCATACCTATAATACCAGCAACTTGGGAGGCTGGGGCAAGAGGATCTGAGGATCAGGAGTTCAAGGTCACTTTCAGCAATTTAGTGAGACCTTAAGCAACTCAGTGAAATCCTGTCCCAAAATAAAATATAAAAAAGGACTGGGGATGTGGCTCAGTGATTAAGCACCTCTGGTTTCAATACCAGTACAAAAAAAAAAAAAAAAAGTTCAAGAGTAGCCTGGAAAACTTAAAGTAGAATAAAAAATTAAATAAAAAATGTTCAGTGCAAGAGCACTTACCTAGTATGTGTGAGGCCCTAGGTTCAATCCCTGGCACTGCAAAAAAGGAAGGAAGGAAGAATATACTGATGTAAAGAGATTCATACCTCCTACTTTGTCCCTACAGGGCCTACCACTTACACCTACAGCCTGTCCTTAACCTGGGAGTGATCAATTCCAGCTGTGATGACCCAACTCTTCCAGAAATATCAAGCCTTCGGGTTGCACCCCAGCCCAGCCTGTACCCTTACCTGGAGTGTCCAGCAGGGTGGGGTCTCTTACCTACACTCTTCTAACATCCCATGGCCAGATGTTCCTAAACTGTTTCCTCTACTTTACTGGCCTGTGCTCCAGGGATGCACCCAAACTATTCCTGCACAAGACTAACCCTGCACAAGGTAGGAGTGTGTGTGTGTGTGTGTGTGTTCAGAGATAAAACTCACAGCCTTGCTACACAAGCCCTCTACTACTGCCCTACATCCCTACCCTTGCATAAGTTCCAAGTGGAGGAAAGCCCGGGAAGGGATCTAGAGGAACACTGATCCCATTCCATTGTGCCTGGGGCCACCCTGCTCTCCAGCAGAGGCCGTCTAGGCAGGTTTGCAGTATGGTAGCGCCCCCTTGTGTTGAGTGTTGGAGCTGCATGCCTGACCTGAAGAATTCAGAGCAGCATGGCAACCCCCCACCCCGCCCAACACCACCACCGTCCCAGGACTACCGAAACCACCAACCTATCCCTTCCCCCTTTCCACTTCCTATGATTCCACCCTGGACACCTGTACTTAAAGGGGTGGGACTCTGGGGGAGAGAGGCCGACCAGACGTTCTTAGCCTTGCCAGTTACAGAGAGGAAAAAGTCAGAGTTTCCGTCTGGTGTCCCAGTGCGGGAGTGGGCGGGCAGCCCTGACCGACTCTGGAAAAAGAGTGGAGCGGGTACCTACCGGACAGAGGGCCAACGGGAGAGAGGATGGGAAGCCCTTCTGCGACCTCTTCTCAGAGCGCTTCCGAGTTGCCACACTGCCCTCCAGTGGATGCCTCAGACACGGCTCACCCCAGGATGCCTGTCTCCTGGATCCCAGGGTCAGAATTCAGGTGAGACCTGACTCCAGGACCAGAGTGCTATCCTGGAACTCCGAAGAGGGGGTTAAGGGGTGGAGTAAGAAAGTCTCGTGTCCCCTTTACCTAAAAATGGGACTTCTTTTGTTTTTCACCTACCTGAGTCATTTGGAAGTCAAACCCATGCCTCTGTGGGAGATTTACAACCTGCAGCATCCTCTTATCTTCTTCCCAGCCCAGGGCCAGGAGAATCCCTGGTGTCCCAATCTCACATTTATTAAAGGTCTTACATTTCTAATTTTGTAGTTTAAAAAAATTCCTATAGATATCTTACAAACAGCATTATATTATTGCATTGTTTGTACTAATTTTTTCATAAGTATTTTAAATATACCAAGCATTTAAAAACCATTTTAATATTTCTTAATTTTATAATATATCACAGGCTGAAAAAATGGATATGATTGAGGTCACTCCCAAACCAGGGAGGTGTGCCCCCAGCCCACATAAAAAGTTAAACCGAACCCCGGGAAGTGGCACTCCTGTAATCCCAGAGGCTCGGGAGGCTGAGGCAGGACAATCACAAGTTCAATGCCAGCCTCAGCATTTCAGTGAGGCCCTAAGCAACTCAGGAAGACCCCATCTCTAAATAAATAAAATATTAAAAAGGACTGGGATGTGGCTCAGTTGTTAAGTGCCCCCTGAGTTCAATTCCTGGCACCAGAAAGAAGGAGAAGGAAAAGGAGGAGAAGGAAAAGAAGGAGGAGGGGAGAGAGAGGAGGAGGGGAGGGGGAGGGGGAGGGGAGGAGGAGGAGAAGGAGTTGTTAAACTGTTTTTCATTCTTTTCCAGACCATAAACTAGCTCTTGTAACCATATGGTAGTGTCTTCAACTTTACCTCTCCTTTCAGACAAAGAGGTTTCCTCATCATGAAAAACTCTCTCTTGGATACTGCATAATTTCCCCCCATTTTTTCCTGTTCTCTCAAGCCAAAGCTTTTTAGAGTTGTCTACATTCTTTCACTTGTCATTTGTTTTTAACCCAACCTCTATATCTGCAACCCATGCATTTTCTAAGTGGAGCACCTTGTAATCCCAGAAAGATCACAAGTTCAAGGCCAGCATGGGCAATATAGACCCAGTCTCAATTTCACCTTTTTTATTTATTTTTTATTTAACATTTAACATTTATTTTTTAGGTGTAGATGGACACAACACAATGCCTTTATTTTTATGTGTTGCTGAGGATTGAACCCGGGTCCCACCCATACTAGACAAGCGCTCTACCGCTGAGCCACAATTCCAGCCCAATTTCACCTTTTTTAAATTAAAATATCTATTATATATCTTTATTTACCTGTCAGATTAGCAGATTGACAAAGACTTAAAAAGTGACAAAGATAATTAGAAGCAGACATTCCCACACCTGTTTTTTTCTTAAACTTTATAATTTTTTATCTGTTCAAATTAGTTATACCTGACAGTATAATGCATTTATGCATTTTGATATATCATACATAAATGGAATATAATTTCTCATTTTTGTGATTGTATATGTTGTAGAATTACATCAGTCATGCAGCCATATATAAACATAAAGTAATAAAAACTGTTTCATTCTACTATGTTTCCTGTCCCTGTATCACCTCTCCTCCTTCACTTCCCTCTACCTAATATAAAATAACTCTATTCTTCCCTAGTGGCCTTCCCCCCCCCCCGCCCCCATTGTGAATTAGCACCAGAATATCAGAGAAAACATTTGGTCTTTGGTTTTGGGGGATTGGCTTATTTCACTTAGCATGATATTCTCCAACTTCATCCATTTACTAGCAAATGCCATAATTATATTCTTCTTTAAAGACAAGTAATATTCCATTTTTTTCAAAATTTAATTTTGAAATTTGAAAAAAAATTTAATTATTTTTTAGTTGTAGTTGTACATAATACCTTTATTTTACTTATTTATTTTTATGTGGTGCTGAGGGTCAAACCCAGGGCCTTGCACATGTGAGGCGAGCACTCTATCACTAAGCCACAACCTCAGCCCTGAAATTTGAAAAACAAAAATTTTTAAAGGGGCGGGGGGAGAGAGAGAGAGAAAGAGAGAATTTTAATATTTATTTATTTATTTTGTTTTTGGCGGACACAACATCCTTGTTTGTATGTGGTGCTGAGGACCGAACCTGGGCCGCACGCATGCCAGGTGAGTGCGCTACTACTTGAGCCACATCCCCAGCCCCCTGAAATTTGAAAATTTTTGAAAAAAAAACTTTAAAGGACTGGGTTTTAGCTCAGGAGTAGAGCACCCTTGGATTCAATCTCTAGCAACTGAAGTTAAAAAAAAAAAAAAAAGCCACCAAGGCATTTACTGAAACTTCTTCCTATGAGGCCTTCATGACCCCTTTCTTCCCTCAGCCTGTACTTTCTTTGGCCTCATTTTAGCATCTAACACAATTTAAAGCTCCCATTCCCCTTGTCTCTCATGAACCAAGTCACCTTGTCAAGGAAAACTGAAGGGCCAAATAAGTGTCATTTTATACCAACCCAGGACCTCACCTCTATACCTCAAGCTGAGAGTCAACTGAACTTCTTCCTCCTCTTTCTCTTTTTCTTCATATTCATTGAACTCAGGGCCTTGTGCATGAACACCCTACCACTGGTAGCCCTGGCCTTATTCATATGCTATGTTAATTCCAGTTTCTATCCTTCAAATTAAATACAATATGCAAATTCTTATTTCATATTACATTCAGCCCATCAAATATCTGAATCTATAGTTTTCATGAATTCTGTTGCTCACTAAACTTTTCTTTATTGAAAGCCTTTCTAGGGGGCTTGTGCTATAGCTCAGCAATAGAGTGCTTGCCTCACACATGTGAGGCACTGGGTTCGATCCTCGGCACTACATAAAAATAAAGATATTGTGTCCATCTACAACTAAAAAATAAATTAAAAAAAAGAAAAGAAAAGCCTTTCTAGTCCCATAAATAGCTTCTTACATGACATGGCTTAGAGACCCCTCAACACCCTATTACCTTCCTCTGAACTGGGGTATTTTATTTTATTAATCTTTTAAAGAGTGGCTTTTTCCAGTGCATGGAGAAGCAGTATTATATTTTTGATTAGTGGTGAGTATTCTGGAATTACACAATCTGGATCTCAATCCAATCTTTATTACTTCCTACTCAGTCACTTCCTATAAATTATCCTCCCTGAGCTTCAGTTTCCTCATCTTTAAAGCACAGATGATAATATGAAGGACAGTTGAGTGGATTAAAAGACGTCCCTGATGAATCATTGTTTCATCTATTCATTCAACAAGCATTTCTTGCAGGTCATGGTGGCACACATCTGTGATCCCAGTTCCTCAGGAGGCTGATGGCTTTAAACTTGCTATCCTTGGCAACATGGTGAGACCCTGTCTCAAAATTAAAAATTTTAAAAGTAGCTTGGGAGGTAACCTAGTGGTAGAGCATCTGCCTAACATGTGCTAGGCCCTGGTTTGATCCCCAGCACCTCCCCGCACCACACATACACATATGAAAGGATTTATTGAGTACCCACCAGTGCCAGACTTTGTTTTTGGTACTGCAGAAATAACTGTAAACAAAAAGATCTTTGCCCTCATGAAACTTACATTCTCGTGAGAGGAGCAGGCAGTAAATGTGACAAAGGAGTAAAATATAGAATACTAGAGAGTGATAAGTGCTAAGAAGAGTCAGTTGAAGAAGAGAAAGAATTGGAGACGTAATCTCAGGTAGTGTTGCCAGGGAAGGACCCACTAACAGAGGTTACCAGGGAACAAGCCAGATGGTTCTTGGTAATAAGAATATTAAAAATATTAGCATATACCATAGACCCTGAGGTGAGAGCATGCCTGCCAGGTTACAACCTCAGAATATGCTAGTGTGGCTGGAACAGAATGCTCGAGGAAGAGAATAGCAAGAGAGGAGATCAGACACACGTAACAAGACAAGATCCTATAGTGCCTTGTAAGCTATTGCAGAAAATGGCTCTTACTCTGAAATAGGAAGCGTTTGGAGTGGAACAGAGGAAGGATAAAACATTTTAGCAGAGTTGTAAATACTCATTATTATTAAGACAATTGTTCAATGTAATTTGATCAGTGGAATAATCATCCCTAATTGTTATATAATGCTTACCTTGTGCCAAGTCACTAATTCTTTGATACTTCTTTCTTCAAAAGAAAAAACTAATTCATCTCCTGGAATGTGGTCTGGCCTTTGGTGATCTGTTTCTTATAGAATCTGGGAAAAGTGACACTATGTGACTTCCAAGAGTAAACAATCAATCACGCACAGTGGTACATGACTGTAATCCAAGAGATGTGGGAGACTGAGGCAGGAGGATAGCAAGTGTTAAGGCCAGCCTTGGCAACTTAGCAAGACCCTGTCTCAAAATCAAAAATACACGCCTGTAATCCCAGTGGGTTAGGAGGCTGAGGCTGGAGGATCACGTGTTCAAAGTCAGCCTCAGCAAGAGCAAGGCACTAAGCAACTCAGTGAGACCCTGTGTCTATATAAAATACAGAATTGGGCTGGGGATGTGGCTCAGTGGTTCAATGCCCCTGAGTTCAATCCCTGGTACAAAAAAAAAAAATAGGGCTGGGGATACGGCTCAGTGGTGAGTGCCCCTAAATTCAATCCCCAGTACCAAAAAAATAAATAAAATAAAAAAGGTGAAGATGTAGCTCAGAATTAGAGCATCCCTGGGCTCCATCGCCAGTATTACAAAAATAAATTTTAAAACTGCTTATATTGTGAGGAAATTTGTCATCCAGCAATAGATAACTAATATAGATTTGGGAACTGGAACATAGCCTGCTATGATGAACATAAAAGGTAAGACTGACTATGCAATCAGGAAAAGGAGAAAAACTGGAAGACTTTGAGAAGAATGTTAATGAAAGTCTCAAATGCCTTAAAGTGACCAGTAGAAACATGAGGGCCTTTAAAGAGACAGC